GGGGGGGGGGGGGGAAGGGGAGCTGGAATGGAGTTCCTACACATTTACAGCTCGGATCGATTCACTGGCCTTCCCAACGGGAGCGAAAGTATCTGCTGCCGTAGACGTGGGGGCCGATTGCAAGACATGGAGTTACAAACTGGGTTAAGTGTTCCATCTTCTAAGCATAGCTTAGAACTGACTTAACCCAAAATGGACCACCAGATGGAAGGGAAATGCTGAATCTGATATGCATAAAACTGCTGGCAGGTTTTACCCTTCAACATTTAATAATACAAAACGCAAATGCAGAAATATCTTGGAGTTCTCGCTGCCTCATGGCCAGCCACCAGGGCTGACCTCTTGTGCAGCTCACTCCACCCTGTAACTCAACCTTCTAAATGTGCTGCAAATTTCCAGCCAACATGGCCAAAGACAAAGCTAAATGGGAATTCTGGGACTTGAAGTCCCAATGCATCTGGAGGGTGCCAGACAGAAGATGTCGGGAGCTACTGCTTTCCCTCGAGGACAGTTTTTGCCTTGGGTCTGGGCTTTCTCAACCTACCTCACTAAACCTCAAATGCTGCTTCATGCTCTAGGCTAGGTTAACATGCTGGTTCTTCTAATCCCCCGTTAAGTCTTAACACAAGCCTCCCAATTTACAAACCCAGGCCAAATGTTCCAGATTTTTTTTTTTAATCCCTGCTAGTTAGAACCAGTAATAATGTTCTGTTTCCCACCCATTTCTAAAAGTCGCCCTATGGCCCTCAACAGCAAAGAACCACCCAATTACTTGAAGAGACTACTTTATCCCGATTCCTGAAAAACTTCCCAGACCGAAACTACCCTTGCATGAATGAAGGATGCAAAATCACTTGTGCTTCTTTGGCCTCACAATTTGCTACATTTTTCTTTTGAGGTCTCCTTTCCCCCCTCCACCCGTTTCTTCCTAGGACTTTGAAGACCCAATGTCACCCCACTCCCAACCAGGCTGATGAGTTCTTCTTCCAACGTCCATGGCCAACGCAACCTGTGTTCCACGGAGAACAGGTACTTTGTTGGCGTTTGGAAGCCTAGTCCTCTGTTAGTCAAATAAATAAATAAATACCCAACACTGCAAGCAGAGGCAGTTGGGCTCACAGCGGAGCTCTGCTCTGCCTTCCCAGTAAGAACGTCCTTTTATAACTGGCTCTCCTCTTCCTCCAGAGAACGGTTCAACCCAGGGATAAACTTGAGGAGTCTCTTGCGGAAGCTTCCCTGTTTGCTTTTGGGGGGCCTTGGCGTGGCTACAGAGTTCTTTGGTTCTCCTGATTTGTCCCAGAAGCAGGCATCCCCATTGCTGCTGCTGCTGCTGGTGCATTTGACGCTGGTGCTGCGGGTTAACGTTGTCTTGGGGCGAGAAGACTGGGCAGCCGCGGGGACAATGTCCAGAGAGTCGGCGGAGTCAAAAAAGCAAGTCTGGTAAAGAGATTCCTCAGTCTCATCAGTGGCCGTGCTGACACAGCCCACACTGCTGTAAGTACTCCCAGCTCCTGTCAACAGCATCCCGTAGGGTGTAGAGCCATACAGGCAGGAGCGCACGGACTCCAATGTATCATAGATGCTGGGGTCTTTAACCACAATCCCTATCAGAAAAGAGCAGACCATTACTTAAGTGAATGCAGGAACCTGCTTGTTCTCCCAAAAGGCAGAACTGATCCATGCTTGGATCCACACATTGTGGTAATCTTGGTTTAGCTTAGTGCAGTGTTTCTCAGCAACTTTGAGATGCATGGATTTCAACTCCCAGAAACACTGGCTTAGTGTGTTACCCAAACACAGCCAAGACTGATCTGTAAACCATGGAATATGTCTTTCTGCAGCCAGGCTCTTCAGCCAGATTTGGTTCCACATCCCTGACCTACAAGACATTCACAAAAAATGCTGATACTCTTCTGATACTCACCATGGACCAGGCGCTGCTCCTGCACCATCAATGACCGATATTCCCCCCATTTCTCATAGAGGGTTTGCTGCAATGGAAAGAAGCTGACATTAAACACAACAACAAGGATCAGTCAAGTCTATATATCTAATTAAAAACTCCTTCAAGTTGTGCTTGACTCCTGGTGAGCCATCCTCCTTAAATCTCATCCTTCCCTTTTTATTTGCTCTATAGGTAGAGCAGACAACTTCTCCTTCTTGGGTTCAGGTGATCAAGGAATTCAACAGCCAAGAGCTGGAAATTTATGGGCTGCAAAGAGACAGAACAAAAGCCTGACAGAGCAGAAGAGTTGCAATATGTTGTCCAACTATCTGCTGGCTTCTAAAAAATACCAATGGCCTACCTACTTCTCAAGGACAAGGAGGCTTCCTGCTAAACACCTAAAAAGATTCTCAGGACTACAAATTCTCAGACAGTAAATAAAAAAGGCTACGGCTCCGTGTATCAGCAGACTCTGCAGGTAGAAACTTCCTGGTTCAGTCTCTGGAATATCTAATAAGAAAAGATCAGGTAGGAGGTGTTAGGGAGCATCTTTCTGAACAATGGGAGAAATGGGAGAGTAGCTCAGGAGTCAAAGCTGCCAATGCTCATCGTTATTAATTCCAATTTCTTCCTTTAAAAAAAATCTAGCTATTCAAGCCATTGCAATGTTACTAAAAAAAAAAAAAAATTCCCCTCTCACCCCTATGGATGGTACAT